GAGGTCGAGTTGATTGTGTTGTTGAGTTCGTCTGTGTCCTTGTTGACATTTTTTCTAGTTGATCTGTTCCTCCATAAAAGTGATGAGTTGGTAGCATAGTGCCTAAGGCACTTGACTGCTAACCAGAAGGCTAGCAGTTCAAACCCACCAGTCACTCCTTGGAAGGAAGGTTGGGCATTCTACTTCCATAGTGATACCGCCTTGGAAACCCAAGGAGGGGTCACTGTGAGTTGGGTCCGACTTGAGAGCACATAACAACAGCTATTACTATTGTAGAGTTGTCTGTTTCAATTCAGTTAGTACGTGCTTCATGTATTTTGGAGCACTTTCACTGGGTGCATATTTATTTATTATGGTAATGTCTTCTTGACCGATTGACCCTTTCGGCATCATATAGTGCCCTTCTTTGTCCCTTATGCTGTTTTTCACCTTGAAGTCTATTTTATCAGAAATTAATATGGCCACTCCTGCTCATTTTTGGTTACCATTGGCTTGGTTTTTTTTTTTTTCCACCCCTTAACTTTTAATTTGTTTTCATCTTTGTTTCTAAGGTGGGTCTCTTGTAGGCAGCATATCGATGGTCTTCTTTTCTTATCCAGTCTGCCACTCTTCTCTTGACTGGTGCATTTAGTCCATTCATATTGAGTGTAATTAGCGATAGGTATAAATTGATGGCTGTCATTCTATTGTGTTTTTTGTTTTGTTGTTGGTGATTTCCTTGGTCCAGATACTTTTCTGTGCTGAGTTAATTTTGTTGTCAAGTGTTAGCTGTCTTTTCTTTTTTATTGTTCATTTTGTACTTACTAAGCCCATATGTTTTCTTTCCTTCTGCATTTCTGTAGGGAGATTGTTAATTTTCTCTGGTTACCTTGGAGTGAATTCTTGCCTCTGTATTTTTGGAACAGTCTGTTCTATAAGAATATTGTCCTGTATTCCTCTCTGTTTGGAGGTTTTATTACCTAGAACTTTTATTCCCTCCATTTGCTTTGTTGCTGGTGTCATGTGCAGGTTGATTCCCTTGTTTTTTTATGTACAGTGTTTTAATTTGAGCATTTATTTCTGATTTGGTTTCACTTTTGATGTCATGTGTCCTGATTTTAATTTGTTGTTTTCTGTTGTGGGTTCTCTATTGGAAGGACTTCCTAAAGTATTTCTTGTAGAGTTGGTCTGGTTTTCACAAAATCCCTGAATTTCTGTTTGTCTAAGGATGTCTTGTGTTCATCCTCATATTTGATGGACAGTTTGGCTGGATAAATAATTATTGGTTGGAAGTTTTTTTCCTTCAGTGTTTTATAGATACCATCTCATTGCCTTCTTGCCTGCATGGTTTAGCCTAACTGGTTTGTCCATTGCAGGTGACATTTCATTTTTCCCAGGCTGCTCGCAAGAGTCTTTCTTTGTCTTTGGTTTTGGAGAGTTTGATTATGATATGTCTTAGTGACTTTCTCTTGGGATCTATCCTGTATGGGGTTTGTTGAGCTTCTTGGACAAATACCATTTCTTCCTTCATGATAGGAGGGAAATTTTCTGTTAGCAAGTCTTCCACAATATTCTCATATTCTCAGTGGGTTTTTTTTTTTTTTTTTGCCTCTTGTCTCAGTATTCCAGTGAGGTGTATGTTGTTTCTTTTCATGTCGTCCTATATAACTCTTAGATTCTCTTCATTTTTATTAAATCTTTGTTCTGACTTTTCTTCATGCAGGTTGGTGTCCAGGAATTTATCTTCTAGTTGGGAAATGCCTTCTTCAGCCAGTTCTTACCTATTCTTCTGTGCTTCCTCTGTTTACATAATTCTGTAATTTTAGTATTCATCTTCTGGATTTCTAACTGCTGTTTTTGTAGGAGTTCTGATTGCTTACTAATCTTGTTATTTTGTTCTTGAATGGTTATCCTAAATTATCTCAGGGTACTGTGTTCTCCTTGGTTCTGTTTGACATTTCCTTAAGCTCTTGTAGTGTTCTATAAACATATCTTCTAAATTCCTTCTCAGGTGATTCTGTTGCCTCCACTTCCTCCATGTTTAATGAGATTTTTGCCTGTAATTTTATTTCTATTGTCTTAACCTGATTTTTTGTTTGATTTGAGGTTGCTTGTTGTTTCCTAGACATTTTGAAATTGTCTTTAACTGTTAGTTATGTATTGATTTGTTTTGCCTGGATTTTATGTTTAAATAGTTTTGCAAAGGTGAAGCTGGTGTATTTTACTTTTTTGGTTATTAATTCAGGTGTGCTGGGTTGCTCTACAGTTTTCTTTGTGTTGATGGAATCACTGTGGGGAATGTAGATGCAGGTTTCTGTCTTGAAGGGGATTTAGAATTGGAAAAAGCAGGTGTTGTGGTGGCTTAATGTGGTTCTTCTGTTGGATGAGGCAGGGGACAAGGGGGTAAAAGGTGGAAGGAAAAAAAAGCTCAAAGGCGCTGGTAGTACATCCTCACTTTCCGCATTTCTATGGCTTGGCTCAGCTGCTAATGATGACTTTATATTGTCACTCACAAGCCCATGGTTTAAAATTCGCAAATGGTTAGGGGGCTGCTACTTTCCGCCTGTGTCGGACAGCTGCAAAAACCCCATTACTCTGGACCCCTCTGTGCTAAAAGTTGTCCTGGAAGAGCTGGACCCCAGCCCTGCACTGTGAGCTCATCCCAGGGCCTGCCTACCTGCAATGTGTTTCCCTTTCTGTTTCCAACTCAGCTGTGACTGAGCCAGAGGGGTCTCTCTGCTCTATTTCTCAGAAGTGCCATCTCCCCGCTCAGCTCAGTTCCCAGGGTTACCAATGGAAGCCACCACTGTGGGCAGTCTGATTCCCAGAACCACAATTGGCTTCCCAATGTTCCTGCTTCACTGCTTAGAGAGTTCTCCATTGCTCCGTCCCACTGGCTCACATGCCACAGGGCAGGTTCATTTATTTTTGTTCTTCCTGGATGTTTACCCTACTCCCCCCCCCCCTTTTTTTTTTCTTTCACCACTAAATCTGGCCTTCTCCAACTTAATGAGCTGCTGACAGCTCCGGAATCCCTGCTTCAAGCTGCACCTAGTTTTTCCTTCATTAAGATGCTAGAGGGAACAAATACGTGGTCTATAGGTGTGATTCCATCTTCCTACCTCCTCTCTTTTACATTCTTTTGAGGATTGGTCAATTTTGATGTTACATTAGGTTATATCAGGGAGTTAGCTTGTGTGGATTTAGACAACTCACTCTTATCTACCCTGTGGCCTATAGCAACTGATATCTCTCCTCAGTTCTTACTGCTCTAGTTGGTTTTATTGCTAGCCTTATTGGATGTGTGTATATATATATGTCCATTAACATGGTCAGTCACCTGGTGATTTGTGCATAGCATGTACTCAGATTTTGAGTCTCACTCTGTGGCTCTCTGAATGCAGAGATTTCCTCCCTAAATTTCTAGATGTTTGGTAGTTTGCCCTGTGCTGTCTGAAGTCAGTAATACTGTGGTTTTCTGCTGTTGAAGTTGCACTGATTCAGGTTTACAATTCTTACCATTGCATTTCCATTGGGGAAAATTCAAGTTTCTGCCCACATTTGGTCTATTCCAGTGATTTTAGATAGTTGCTTTCTTCTGTTTTGTTCAGATTTGTTACCTGTGAGAGGGTATACCTAACTAATTTAATTTACCCTGCCATCATTAGTACCTGGAAATACAGGATTCAGTCTATTCATTTATTTTCCTTTGAGACTTAACAAGGTTATTCATTAAGGAATATGTGAAATTCCAGAGACATGAATTTGTATATGATAGGTTTTTCTGGTAAAGACAGTAAAAAAGACATCAGACAAATGATACATCTGAAAAACATTTTTAGAGCAACTGAAGTATTAGTTAATATTTTAGCTACTTAATACTTAAGACTTCAGGAAGTACCATGAAGAGGAATGAATAGTTCTTTAAAGTCATGTTTAAAAATCTAGATTCGGATTATCTTCAGAATGTCTTTTTGACTGTTATAGTATTGGAACTGTAACATATGTTCTCCATTTACTTCTTTGTGGAAGAATTTTAGTGGCTCCATGTGTATGATAGAATCCTAGGCCTTATGAGGAAGACAGAATCAGAAAAGAACCTGCTCAAATGAGCCCATAGCTTAAGGGAAAATGAGGCTTGTTAAGAAATGCAAAGTAGAAGTTGGGAAGGGTCATAATAGAAGTAAACTTTATAGAGGGTCAGAAGTAGAAAAATACTTATAGACCAAGAAGACTTGCTAGAAATGTGGAATTACAACTAGTTTTAAAGAATTTTAGTTAGATATGTGAAAATGGGGCAACGGTAGAGGAAATAATGATAAGTGAAATGGAGGCAGAAAAAATTCTAGATATATTGTCAGAATATAGAGTAGGTCAGATTAGCTGAGGGGGAAGGGCATGTGAGAAAATAGCAATTATAAGAAATACTTGAATCCTTGAACCAAACTAATGGGTTTGAACTTGATTTATGGGCAGTGGAGATCCATTAAAGAATGAAATGATACTTTTGATTGTTGTATAAAATAGATTGCATGGTGGGAGGTGGGGGGGCAGATATTAACATTGTAGGGATAAATATTGGCTTTCATAAGAAATTAGGACTGGGGAAGGTAACAGTCTAGTTGCAGCTATAGATTCCTAGGAGAGTAGAGCAAAGGGAAAAATAAATGGCATATGTTGTTGCTACTTGCCATGGAGTCAGTTATGACTCATGACTCCATTTGTGCAGAGTAGAACTGTTCCGTACGGTTCTCAAGAGATTGCCAGGCTTGTCTTCTGAAGTGTTTCTAGGTGGGTTCCAACCACCAGCCTTTTTGCTAGTTGTTGAGCACTTAACTGTTTGCACCACCCAGGGACTCCTTAAAGTACATATGCATTATATAAATAGCTGCATTTGTGGTGATGTCTTTTTCTGTGGTACTTTTATTTTTAGTTTGGCCTTTTAAATAAATTTATTAATTGAGCTTAATAAAAGAAAGACAGTGTATTAGGTACTGAATTGATTTTTCATAACTGTCCAGGGCCACCCAGTGCTCCCACAGAAGACCGTTCAGGAACACCTGACAGCATTGCTTCCTCTTCCTCAGCACCTCACCCACCAGGAGTTCAGCCACAGCAGCCACCATATACAGGAGCGCAGACACAAGCAGGTCAGATTGAAGGTAAAATAGAGCTCAGAGCACATGCATAGAAAGGTGAATGTGCAGCAGCGTTTATTGCAGCATAGTTGGGAATGGTAGACAGCTTACATATGCATTCATGCTGTGAACAAGTTGTAAGTGATTTTGATCTGATAGGGTGATTTGATTACTTCATGCTTCTCTAACAGAAAAATACCACAGGTGGGTGGTCTTAACAAATAGGAGTTCATTCTGTTAACACCTTTGGAGGCCAGAAATCTGTTCAAGTGCCAGCTCTAGGGGCTGGATGCAAGCTGCTCAACCTTGGGCTTCAGCTCTGCCTCTTGCCCCCAGCCCACTGGAGTGAGAGGTGTCTCTTCATCAGGCAGCTATTGGCTGCTGAGGCTAATAACAAGCCCACAGTGAACAGATAAAATGGCACAGTCCTAATATTACCCAACAACATGGCAGGCCACTAGTTTAAGTCCATAGCCAGTTCCAAGATGGGCAGGAAACATGGCAGGCTGCTAAATGAAGACTCAGCTAAATGCAGGGTCCAAGTGTGCCAAAAAGATGCAGAGACTTTCCTCAAAACTTCTTACATGCTGGAAGCAGACCACGTCCCCAAGGTAGCTACTCAGCTTTTCTAATAGATTCCACCCTGGAGATGATTACCAAGCTCATTATGGGGAATAACTACATCCAGCTGATTAGCCACTCAACACCAGGCTCAGCCAATTTGACACATACCTTAACTATCATATGTTTTGGAGTTAAAAAATAAGTAGAGTATGTCACTGTGCTTTCAGTTATTGAAAAGAGAGAAAAACAGAGAAAAAAAAAAGTCTATGTGAATATATAAATACTGGGGGAAGATCAGGAAAAATTCATACCAGTCAATAGTGACCCACAGGGAGAAGAGTGGAATTGGGATAGGGGACATCACACTTTATTATGCATATGCTTTGGTGTTATTTTATCTCCCTCTGCTCTCCCCCTCCCCCCTAGTTGCTGTGTATTATTTATCTAATTTAAGGAGATATATAAAATAGAGATAAACTTGAGTGAAGCAAAACTTCAGTTAAATGTAGTATTTTGGGAAGATTAATAGCTCTATATTTTTGTTCAGCCTAAGGCACTTGACTGCTAACCAGAAGGCTGGTTCAAACTCACCAGCCACTCCTTGGAAGGAAGATAGGGGAGTCTACTTCCATAGTAACATGCCCTTGGATGAGTAATTTAATCTCTCTGGGTTTTGATACTTTCTCACTGTAAAATGTGAAATCACACTGAACCACTGGTTTCAAAGATATTCAAAAGAATATCTTTAGTCCTGAATGACATGTAACTTGAAAGCTTAGTGTTTAAAACAGGTAAAAGGGTAATTACTGTGGTTAAAGGGGATTGAGGGCCGTAAACCCAGGGTAGCAGGCCCTGAGGCCTCATTTTAATCAGTGGAGCTCTGCAGAGCACAGCTGAGAAATACATGCTGATCTCTATATATTAAAACATTTCTGTGAATTATCTACCTACCTATTAGGACCTTTAAGATTGCAATTACACATTTTACTTTAAAATAAACACCAGGTGGTGCTGTAGCTATGTGTTAAAGGGATCATTTGGTGGTATTCTGTGTTTTCAGCATTGGAAGCAAGTATATTAATCACTTAAAAAAATCATAGCCTAAAATGAAGTGATTACTTGTGGAATAGTGGCCTGTCATCTTGCGATAATACTTTTGAGAATTGTCTCATTGGATGAATATCAGTCATTAGGAACTAGCACATGACAGTTTGCTAATTAATGAATGAATAGTTTGGGAATAATTTCTTGGTGCTTCAGCCTCTTCTCAACCAACCTTAGTTACATAGTTTCCTTTGTACCCAGATGAAACTTCCAAGGACAGAACAAATTTTAATTGAAGCACATGTGGGCTGAAATAGGGCAGAAGTAGAGTTTGGATATGATGAGAGTTTTAACAGCTGTGTGAAGTGAACTAAAACTGTTAAGTCCATTTTCAGCATTGTGTACTGTTTGTAGCGTGGCAGTTGGGAAAGTAATTTTATCAAATGTTTGCTGCTTAGTTATAAAGAAATGGAGTTTCATTCCACTAGTAATATCTCAATCTAGTGTATGAAGGATTTGTTTTAATTAAATAATTCATTTTTAAATAAGTAAAATTTAAAAGATATACACAGAAGTTTTCCTACCAGTTCTGTCCCCCAGTAACTAAGTACTCTTGTCCTCTCAAACCAAACCAAACCAAACCCACTGCCATTGAGTCAATTCCGATTCAGTGGTGATCCCCCTGTTGGGTTTTCAAGACTGTAAATCTTTACAGAAATAGATTGCCTCATCTTCCTCCAGCAGAACAGCTTGGGTGTTTGAACTGCACTTTCTGGTTGGCAGCTAAATGCCTTACCCACTGTGCCACCAGAGCTCTTTAAGTACCTTTGTCCAGAGGCATGAAATTAACATTGTTTGATGTACATTTAATTCCTTCAGAGTAGCATTAATTGCATGCTTTGCTAAAGCTGTTACTTTTAGTTTACGTTAAAAGATAACCAGTAGATGAGCATTTTGGAGGTGAAATTCCAGATCAGTGCTGTCCATAAGAAATATAATGGAAACCTCAAATAATGTAAAATTTTCTATTAGGTGCATTTTTACAAAGTAAAATTCCTTTTAATAATTACATTTTATTTAACACACTTTGTCCATTATGTTAACACGAAGCCAGTACCAAAAAATTATTAATGGTTTACATTTTATTTCTTACTTCATATGGAAAATCTGGTATGTGACATTGATTTGAAGCACTTCAAAACACAAACAGCACACATACCACAATTCAGACTAGCCACATTTCAAATGCTCAGTAGCCACATTTAGCTGATGATGGTTTGTACTGGCATTTGTTATTAGTAGCTATCGAGTGAATTTTGACTCAAGTTTAATCCATCATTAAAACAGCTGTAAAGAAGTAGGGATGATGAAGACATGAATCTATCAATTCTTAATTGTTTGAGAATAACAGGTAACAATAATGTCTAAAACATTTCTTCATAGAAACTGTGGTCTACTGATCTCAGTAGGGCTCCAGTAACATCCCCAGTGTAAGCACATCTGCTAGTATTTAAAAGTACAGTGTGGAACCATTTACGCTTTACCAGATTCCACATGATTGACTAGGATATTTAGATGGCAGATATATATTGAAAACAAACAGTTGTCAAATTCCAGAAGCTTTTTGAAGTCTCTCTGATTTCTTCATACCTAAGGGTCCATTCACATGGTAACAAATGGTGAAGATGATAAATATGGTGCCTTGGGAAAGATTGAGAAGCTATTAATGATGTTTGTCCCTTTTCTCACATTTTTTATTTCGCTACTCAATTTATACTTAACATAGAATTATTCTTAGTGTCATCTGTTGGCAATTAAGTTTGAAAACATTAATTTTTCTGTGTTTATGAAGTGGTAACCACTAGTATTATTTCTCATATTCACTATTGATTGGGGTTCTCTGCCTTTACTCCTCAGCAGAGTAGCCATACTAATAAAATTCATTCTTTTTTTTTCCTGTATGTTGAAAAGGAAACACATTCTCATACATTGTTAGGCAGTGTGTGTGTGTTTAGATGGGGAGAGAATATGAATGTACCTTTAAAATTTTCTTTCTGCCAAGTTAAACCCTACCCTTCCCTTACATTTTTCTGTAATTTTATGTTTTTAGGTCAGATGTACCAACAGTACCAGCAGCAGGCTGGTTATGGTGCTCAGCAGCCGCAGCCTCCACAGCAGTATGGGGTTCAGTATTCAGGTGAGCAGGTGTTGAAAGGGACACAGCTCATGACTTCTGAGCTGTTTCTATGCTCTTTCAACTTTAAACCCTCTTAATTCCTTGATTTGTATTACTTACATTATAATAGGTGTTAAGTATTTTGGGAGAGAAATAACATGTATTTTACGTTTTTTACATTTTATTTTTTTTATTGTTAAGTCAACATTTCAGTTTTCCAGTGGGCAGAACCTAGTAAATGGTCCTATAATCACTTGTAGCATAAAAAAGTTTGTAATACAAAGCTCTTTCTCACTAATGTGATCAGCTACCTCTAAGTGCCTTAGAGCTGCAAAAAATGCAAACAAGAGCTTTTCCTCATTTTACATATATATATATATATATATATATATGGTACGACAACTCTTGTTACATATAACATACTGTTAGTGTCTGTAGAAATACTAAGTTTCCTCATGGATGGAAAGGTGATCTTATTAAAAGTAATAAATTAAGCTACTTAAGCTTTTTAGTCTCCCCAAACTATGTAGAAATACCATAAAAGTTGTTGTTGTTGTTGTTGTTATGTGCCATCAAGTCGGACCCAACTCATAGCGACCCCTCCTTGG